GACCGGGCTATTTTTATCCTGAGATTACCAGAGGGGGCTGGCTGAGCCGGCTCTCTCTTCCTCTCACAGAGCTTTGGAAACAGGGCAGATTGGCAGAGGCTGGCATGGGGGGGGGGGAGTGGATGAGTAGACGGAAGGCAGGGATGCTAAAAACAGAATTTGAGAGAAGGCTCGGCGCCAACCTGCCGTTTAACCCCAGTTGAGGCTCAGGCTGAGGATGTGGGAAGGGAAAGGCAAGAGCTGCTGTGAGCATGCACAGAGGGCACGGGAAGTTTTCCATGTCTGATGTTTTGCTATGTTTTTATATGTGCTGGAACCTGCCCAGAGTGTGGCTGGGGAAACCCAGCCAGATGGATGAGGTAATAATAATAATAATAATAATAATAATAATAATAATAATAGGCTTTCAAGCTACACAGATGACATCTATGGCAGGGATAGGGAACCTCAGCTGAGGCCAAAACTGGTTCTCCAGCTCTCTCTGTCTGACCCTTGGGAATCTCTCCAGGCCAGGCCCTTCATCATTCTTGCTTTCTGCCCTTCCTGAGTGCTTTTGCCTGGCCAGAATGCCTCCTGGAACTTGGATAATGCATCTCTCTTGCCTGGATGGAGAATCAAGAAAGGGGTGCAAGTGTGAGCAACAAGTCTTAGGGCTCATCCATATTTACATTTGCTCTGCGTTTCTAGGCACAGGTCCTAGAAATGAGAAGCTATTTTTTAATTTTTGCCTTGGTACTTTCCCTGCAAAGACCCACACTTTACCATTGAACTGGAGCCAATGGTAATCCATGGAAAACCCTAATTGCTGTTTGCTCTGATCCTGAGGTAAAGATTGGGTGGAAAAAAAACATGCAAGGACATGGACCTGGGCCTAGAAAGCTTGGGGGAAAAGGTAAGTGTGGCCATCTCGTCCTCAGGATTGTGGGTGCCTGCCACTGCAAGGCTAACATACAATGTCACATGCACATACCTGCAATCTGTCAGGCTCCAGGGAATTGGCTTGCTCTACCTCTTTGTCAATACATAAGCAGAACAAAGAGAGAGGAGTCTTCTTACCAGTCATAACCTTTAATGATCACAGCGAGAGAACAAAGAATCCATTCCTAGGAATGAAGGTGCTCCCAATTAAGGGTTCCACCCACTCCCTCCCTAGTCACCCACGTCACTACCACGTCTTGTAACCTGATCTCGCAACCACTGTGCTTTCTGTGCTGCCACCTTATCTGGTCTTCTTGACCTTGGGCTGAGCGGATGAACGCTTTCCAGAGAGTCTGTTAACTCTCTCTCTCCCAGTGCTTCTCCTCCTAGCTGTTCCCCCTCCAGTACTTCCCAGCTTCTGCACTCTGAACTATGTCCCTCTGCAAACCACGGTTCCAAATCTATACTGACCTCCTGCTCCTGGGAAGATTTAGGAACCTGATCAGGAGCAGCGGGAGGGGGAGGCTCCTATCATTCCTTCTCAATGCAGCCCTCCTCAGCATGGTCCCTGACACAATGCCTCCACGTCCGAGCCCCACCCCGCAAAAAAGATGCCTTGCTGGCTGGCTGCAGAGAATGGAGCTGAACTGGTTGTCTCTCAGAGGCAGTGCCCCTGCCACCTGCCAGTTTTGCTCATTGTGGGTGCCCAGCCCCCACAATAATATTATCTTCATTGGCTCCCAGTATGTTTCCGAGCACAATTCAAAGTGTTGGTGCTGACCTTTAAAGCCCTAAACTGCCTCGGTCCTGTATACCTGAAGGAGCGTCTCCACCCCCATCGTTCAGCCCGGACACTGAGATCCAGCGCCGAGGGCCTTCTGGTGGTTCCCTCATTGCAAGAAGTGAGGTTACAGGGAACCAGACAGAGGGCCTTCTTGGTAGTGGCGCCCACCCTGTGGAACACCCTCCCTTCAGATGTGAAGGAAATAAGCAGCTATCCTATCTTTAAAAGACATCTGAAGACAGCCCTGTTCAGGGAAGTTTTTAATATTTAATGCTGTACTTTTCTAACACTTGATTGGGAGCCGCCCAGAGTGCCTGGGGAAACTCAGCCAGGTGGGTGGGGTATAAATAATAAATTATTATTATTATTATTATTATTATTATTATTAGTGCCTAAGCACCCACGCCCCCTGGAGTTGGCTCCTAGGATGACCCCTTACTGAACAAAGGTAAAATTCGCATTCTTTTCTCTGCCCACTTTTGCTTCTGGCCCTGACTGCGACTGGCATGTGGCCTCCTAAGGGTTGTCTTGAAGGAGATGCTCCCCTGGGGCTGAAAAAGAGGTACACCACCTCTCAAAAGAAGAAGAAGAAGAAGAAAGAACACAGACTATGATGGACCCATTGCACATGGTGACCTTTTCCTCTTTCAGCTGTTCCCAGCTGAAGAGCTGATGGTCAGAAGGGGACCAAGGGGGTGAAATGGGCTCTGCACCCCTGTGTTAGATCATCCCCAGTTAAGAACAAGAGAAGACTCCTGCTTGGTCAGACGGTCTTTCCATTTATTCCAGCATCCTGGTACTCACAATGGGGAAACCTACCGAAAGGGCATAGAGGCAACCACTGTCCCCTGTTAAGTCTCCTGGGAGCTGGTATTTAGAGGTATACTCTCCCTGACAATGGAGGTTCAATATAATTCATTGCCATTGATCAATCACAGTTAATAGCCATTGATTAACCCACTCTGAAACAAATTGCGCTGTCCTCTCTGGAGAGTATTTAAAGAAGACTATAAAATGTTTATTGAGGCAAAACTCCCTGGCCTCGCCGGAGAGATTGGCTTATTATACACACGCCCTGGAAAAGAGGGTAATAAAAAAATTGGGTCAAGAGAGAAAAAAAGAATTAGACTGTGCAACTTCCCACCTCTGGTTCATTGGTCCTAACGGGATGCTTGCAAGGTACCAAAGAGATGATAATGAACAGCTCAGGTTTATATTAACAGAGATGAGGCTAAATTTGGAAAGCACTTTAGTTGAGAATCAATTAGTATCAAATTCACTAAGATAGCCTGCTGGCCAGAAGGATAGGTTTGGAGGGCCTTATTAGGAATGGTGCCTTATTAGTATCAGACTCTGCTGAAGTGCTGGCCCAAGAAACCATTGGCATCCCTCGTTTGCCCTGGAATGGATCTGGGTTCTTCAAAATGCACTTCTAACAGAACAATACAGTGGCACCTCGGGTTACAAACGCTTCAGGTTAGAGACTCTGCTAACCCAGAAATAGTACCTCGGGTTAAGAACTTTACTTCAGGATGAGAACAGAAATTGTGTGGTGGCGACAGCGGAAGGCCCCATTAGCTGAAGTGGTACCTCAGGTTAAGAACAGTTTCAGGTTAAGAACGGACCTCCGGAATGAATTAAGTTCTTAACCAGAGGTACCACTGTACCAGAAACAGGGTTGACCAAAGACGTTTCTGCTGCCTGAACTGGAGCAGAATATAGCACCTTCCCCCAAAGTCACAGAGTCATTCTGGCAGCTGAGGCTTTGCCAAGGCTCTTAGCCTTTTCCCTGGCTGCAAAACCCCAACCATAATGAATTAAACAGCTAACCATTTGCCTCCTTTTCATGGCAACCTGAAACATGGTCCACTCACTTTGCCTAGTGGCAGGGCTGGGCCCAAGACAGGGGCAGACATGATGACCATGGTGAAAAAATAGGTTTTTAATACAGTGCCACCAATGCACAGAGCAAGTTATTTGTGTTTATTCCTTTCATTGGCATCCCGCTTGCTCTTCCACCATGGAATTCAAGGTAGTGTGTATGGCAGGGCAGGAGAGTCTGTGGGACGCCACCTGCTGGACTACAACTCCCTCCACCCCACAGCCCTCACTGGCTCTGCCTCACACTCTCCTTGAGTGTTTTTGTCTGGCAGGAATGTGTCCAATGCTGGCAATGCCTCTTGCTTGCCTGGAGGTAGGCTAGAGAGGCCAGTCTGCTGTACAGTAAGCCAGTCTGCTGTACAGTGGCATAGCATGGGTGGGGGCACAGGGACAGTTCCCCCAGGCACAAAACTGTTACTGGCACAAAATTTCAACACCTGGTGCTGCCTCAATGCAGCTGTGTGCTTCCGTTGCAGGGCTCCATTGAAAATGACTTCTCCATGTGAAACAGAAAGTAACTCTCCAGACAATGGAACAACTCTTCTTTTCTTATCTCTGTGGCTGCAACCTCCTGGGTGACTTGGATACTGTTAGGTGGTTGGCTGTGCATGGCATACACTGTCCATTTCCCTCCCTCCCACCCATCCTCTCTGTGCAGCCCCGGGCACTGGCAACCCACGCTACACCACTGCTGCTGTACAAAGGTAAAATAGACATTCATTGCTTTGCTGATTTTTGCCTCTGGCCCCACCCATCGCTGTCATATGGCCCTCAGGGGGAGGGTAAAGGATGTCTCCTGCCCCCCAATTTAATGCATTTATGTCTTGCATCACAACAAACTGAGTGTGTCTGCATTGAGGGCACAGTGGCTTTTGCGGGGAAACAAGGTGCCTGTCTTCATCACAGATCCCAACCAAAGCGGAAATTTACCCTAACACTATGGTTGGTTTCATCCTCAGATAAATTAAGGGCATTCCTTATTCACCCTAACTGACCCTCCTTGACCCCCCCATTTTGTGCCATCCCCCCACCGCAGAACACGTGGTGAGCGCCACTACCACAACTACGAGACACAGCACACAAAACCCTCCACTGTCCTGAGAAAACTCCTTAATCAATAGGGACATTTCTCACTCCTCCACAACTAGGGCTGCCATACGTCTGGATTTTCCAGGACATTTCTTGGGATTTCAAAAGCGGAATTGACATGGGGGGGGGGAGACTTCCGAGAGGATCTCTGATCCACAACTGACAATCCTCGGTTCCCCATTTTTTTGTCCCCACCCCCTTGCAGAGCATTTCCACTACTACACAACATTCACACTCTCCCTGAGAAAACCCCTTAACCCCAATTTTATTTTATTTTAGTTTTTGGTAGATTTACTTACAAACAACCCCCCCCCCCCAATAAATTTTAGAAAGTGTTAAGATTAGACACGGACACACAAATATATATATATATATATATATATATATATATATATATATATGTGTGTGTGTGTGTGTGTGTACACACACACACACACACACACACACACACACGACTCCTTGCGCTCCACTTGCCCTTTCTTCCTGCCCTGGGTGGCCCTGCCCTCTTCCTGCCCCTCAGAGCTGGTTTGTCATGTGGGGCTGGGCCTTGGCAGCATCTCCTCCTCCTCACCCCAATGGAGGAGGTCAGCAGTGGCAGCCATGGAGAGGCAACAGGATGCTCCCTCACAGTTCCTGCTGCCATCACTCAAGGCAAGAGCCAGCTCATCCTCCTTACCGAGCTCAACCGTGGTGGGGAAAATAGGGACATTCTGGGATCAAATCAGGAGCTGAGATGGCTTTCATATTTCTGGGACTGTCCCTGGAAAATCAGGACACTTGGAGGGTATGCGGTTCCAAGGCCTGCCCCTGAACCAGCTGCCTCTCCCTCTTCCACTTGCTCCGAGTCACGCTTTGGGGCTTAAGGTTCTTCACTTGCATATCAAAGCGGAATGGGAGTGAGCAGGATGAAGGCAAGAGGGAGCATTCAAGGTATGGCATGGTTGGTTGAAACGCAAGGCCTCTTCACAAGCCGACTTGTAAATGGCAGCTGGTGTTTCTCCTGGGGAGGGGGCAGTGTGTGAGTGTGGGGGCTAGATAGGCAGAGCAGCCTGTAAGACCACAATAGGATCAGTAGCAGAACATTAGGCACCAGCAAAATAATAAATAGTTAGATAAAGGTAAAGGTAAAGGTACCCCTGCCCGTACGGGCCAGTCTTGACAGACTCTAGGGTTGTGCGCTCATCTCACTCCAGAGGCCGGGAGCCAGCGCTGTCCGCAGACACTTCCGGGTCACGTGGCCAGCGTGACGAAGCTGCTCTGGCGAACCGGCACCAGAGCAGCACACGGAAACGCCGTTTACCTTCCCGCTATAAAGCGGTACCTATTTATCTACTTGCACTTAAGGGTGCTTTTGAACTGCTAGGTGGGCAGGAGCTGGGACCAAATGACGGGAGCTCACCCCGCCGCGGGGATTTGAACCGCTGACCATGCGATCGGCAAATCCTAGGCGCTGAGGTTTTACCCACAGCGCCACCCGCGTCCCCTAAATAGTTAGATAGGTAAAGGTAAATGTACCCCTAACCGTGAGGTCCAGTTGCAGATGACTCTGGGGTTGCGGCATTCATCTTGATTTACTGGCCAAGGGAGTCAGCATTTGTCTGCAGACAGCTTCCAGGTCATGTGGCCAGCATGACTAAGCCGCTTCTGGCGAAACCAGAGCAGCGCACGGAAACGCCGTTTACTTTCCCGCTGGAGGGGTACTTATTTATCTACTTGCACATTGATGTGCTTTCGAACTGCTAGATAGTCAGGAGCTGGGACCGAACAGCGGGAGTTCACCCTGTGGCGGGGATTCAAACTGCTGACCTTCAGATCAGCAAGCCCTAGGCTCTGTAGCTTAGACCACAGCGCCACCCACATCCCTTCGAATAGTTAGATAGTTAGATGCAACTTCCATGTCCATAGACAGTATATCTGAGGAGCTGGGAAGAAACCAATGGTGTAAGGACACAGGAAGTGTCAGTGTTTGTAAAAAGCAAAAAAAGAGGAAAGGGTTCTGACCTTCCTTTTTCTCCTCAGCCTGGTCCTCAGACCCTTGTCAGCATAAAAGAGTCCATGAGACTATCCTTGCAGAGTTTTATTCTTAAAAGTCTTTGTGCAAAAGCAACTGACCAACTATATACATTAACACTAACTAACCAGCTTTCACTAACCAACCAACCAACCCAACAAACTAACAGTTCTCATCCTATATATACAACCCAATGCAGACCGCTGACTCATGCTGACCCAGCTTTATTCGCATTAAAGAAACAGCGGCCATTTTAGCCGTGACAGGAAGAGCCCTGGTGGGTCAGAGCAAAGGTGTATCTAGTCCAGCATCCCATTCTCACAGTGGCCAACCAGGTGCTCATTATGAGAAGCCCAGAAGCAGGGCATGGGTGCAGCAGCAGCTCTGTCACTCTGCTGCTCTCCAGAGGCAAAATAGCCATCAAGGTTAGTAGCCACCAATAGCCTCAACCTCCAGGAATCGGACTAATCGTTTTTGAAATCCACCCAATTTGGCGGCCAATGCCACATCTTGTGGAAGTGAGTTCCGTAGTATAACTCTGCGGGGAGTGAAGAAGCACTTCCATTTGTCTGTCCTGAATCTCCCACTGCTTGGCTTCAGAGGATGAGCCTCTCTAGTTGGTCTGCGCCCAGCATAACTTCACACAAGACACGATGGGAAGAAATTCATTCAGCTCCCATTTTAAATATGCTGCAATCCCGCTGGGCTCCGAAGGCTTGCGGACAGCTGCTCTAAGCCCGGGGTGCGCAGAGCTGCGCTCCCTGGGCTTGGGGCTGCAGGCTGCAATCCGTAAGCCTTCGGAGCCTGGCGGGAACCCCCACCGGGCTCCGAAGGCTTGCGGATAGCTTCCTGAAGCCTGGAGAGCGAGAGGGCTCAGTGTGCACCGACCACTCTCGCTCTCCAGGCTTCAGCGAAAGCCTGCATTCGCTCCATAGGACGCACACACATTTCCCCTTCATTTTTGGAGGGGAAAAAGTGCGTCCTATAGGGCGAAAAATACGGTAAACCGACCTAAGTTGTGCTTCCCAACACCAACACATGGACTGAAATGCAGCTGTCTTTAAATTCAGCATTTCTCTGAACTTTGCAGTGCAGTCCTCCAAGGGGGAAAAAAGTGAAGAAGGAAGCATATTTTAGGGAGAAATGTGCACAAAAGGGTATATATTAATGAAAATAACCTGCTTAGAGAAACAACTTGAAAAAAATCAGGTGAAATCATGCTGAAGACCCATTTTGGTCCACCATCTTGATTCAAAATGGTGCCCAGTTGTCCAAATGACAATAAAGTCTGCTGCCTCCATCTATGAAACCTCCATGCCATGTTTGGTATCTCAAGAGGTGGCTGAGGCTATGCCCCCAAATGGGCAAATCACACCAAAGTCATGATTCGGAATAGCTGCCGGTGGCCCAACATTGACCAGAACTGCCACGTTCACTTCAGGAACCCTCTTGCCATATAGGGTGATGATAGCTCAAGAGTTGGCCAAACCTACAGAGAACAGGTAAAGGACCATTAGGTCCAATTGTGGCTGACTCTGGGGTTGCGGTGCTCATCTTGCTTTATTGGCCGAGGGAGCCGGCGTACAGCTTCCGGGTCATGTGGCCAGAGCAGCACACAGAAACACCATTTACCTCCCCGCCAGAGCAGTACCTATTTATCTACTTGCACTTTGACATGCTTTCGAACTGCTAGGTTGGCAGGAGCTGGGGCAGAACAACGGGAGCTCACCCTGTCACGGGGATTCGAACCGCTGACATTCTGATCGGCAAGTCCTAGGCTCTGCGGTTTAACCCACAGCACCACAGATGGACAGACAAATCACTTTTACAAAATACTCAGTAGATAAATAAATGCAAGGAAGGCTAAGCAGGCGGTAAACTCCTTACAGCATCCCTCTTACTTCTCCAGTGCTTTTTCCTTTCCTTTAGATGCTTGCCTCTTCCTGGAACAGTTACATAAATCCCCTCACTGTGCTCCCTCCGCCCTTCCAAGCTGTTAAGGCTACCTGCCCCCTCCCTGGTCCCCACTGTGCTTGTATAGTGACTGCCGTAAAAATGAGATGACATTCGTGGGGTGAAGCTGGGGACTCCAGCTCGTTATACGCAACATTAAAATTAAAAATAGGCCAAACTCACCGGGCTGCTGTCATTAAGGAGGCAGCGCTTTATTGCTCATTTTTTACTGCCAGATAAATAATGTTTCAGGTGTGGTGGTTAAATAATTTTCTGGAAAAAGAAGTTTGTGGATGGAGAAAGGGGCGGGGGAGCGACTAGCTTCATCCGCACAACAATCCAATAATCCTTTCTCAGTGCTCCATCCATCTCTCTCCTCACAACCTCATCCATTGCTCCCCGGGGTCAATCTGTGTTTTGGCACTGAAAACTTCCTCCTTGACGGTTCGTACTGAAATATAGGAGCCAAGAGGGGAAAAAACCCAAGTATATTTGAGCTCCTTTAAGTTGCTAGTCCATGTTAAGAAAAGACAAACATGCTCGACAAATGAGACACATATCCATGGCTGGGCATTCATGGGACAGAATGGACATTGCTGAGGCTGTAGCATGAATGTAAGAAGAGGATTGCTAGATCTGACTGGGGCATAATAAGAGCCTGGGTGCTGGATCAGGCCAGTGGCGCATCTAATCCAGCATCCTGCTGTCACAATAGCCAACCAGATGTCTTTGGGAAGCCCAAAGGCAGGACCTGAGGACAGCAGCCCTCTCCGCACTTATGATTCCCAGCAATGGGCATTCAGAGACATATTGCCTCTGACAGTAGAGACAGAACATAACCATCATGGATAGTAAGCTGATAGGCTTGTCCAGTGCTTTTTTCTAGGAAAAAAGGTGCTGGAACTCAACGTCTCAGTTGCCAACCCAGATGCAGAATCCAATGCCACCTTGAAACCAAAATCACATGGCAAGATGCCTGGCTCGCTGCCCAGGCTGCTTCGGCCACCATCCTGTATACCTCGCCACTTAGGGACTTCCTTTGCTGGGTGAGCAGACTTCTTAAACAAAGCAGGGCAAAAAGAAGGTGCCAGAACTGTGTTCCGGCATGTTACGGCAGAAAAAAAAGCCCAGGGCTTATCCTCGACGAATTGAAAAGGTCCAGGCTCATAAATGTGGTGCTCTGAATGATGTTATGCATCCTCTGACCCTGGTCATTCCATCTCTCATCCATGAGAAATAGCCACTCTCCTGCCATAACCACCTTCCCCTTCTCCGTCTGCTTTTGAGATGTGTGGTGTAGGCAGTAGAGCAGGGGTCAGCAACCTTTTTCAGGCGTGGGCAGGTCCACTGTTCCTCAGACCATGTGGTGGGCCGGACTATATTTTGGAAAAAAAATAATGAACGAATTCCTATGCCCCACAAATAACCCAGAGATGCATTTTAAATAAAGCACACATTCTACTCATGTAAAAACACCAGGCAGGCCAAACAAATAACCCAGAGATGCATTTTAAATAAA